CCCGCGGTCCCTCCCTCTGTCTTCCTCCTCCTCCTCCCTCTCTCCTCATTTCCCTTCGCCGCCGTCTTTCCCGGTGTCCCTTCCTCCTCCGTCGGCCTGGCCCTGCCCGGGTTCCGTCTGCTGCTTCATCCGCCGCCCGCCTGCCTAGCTGGCCGCCCAGGACCCCTGGCCCAGCCGCTGCCCCAGCCCTGCCCCTTTGCTCTTCCAACTCCTGCCCCAACCCCTGGGCAGTCTGACCTCCTCTCCTCACCTCCGGGCGGTGGCCCTCCTGGCTGGGCAGCAGGGGACAAGTTTGGGGTGTTGATGCTTTTCCCTCCTAGCAACGGCGGGCAGCGCTGCCGTGCACCAGGCCAGCCCTGTGCGGAGCGTGGGGTTCCAGGCCCGGCCTCCTTGGCACAATCGCATACAGGCGCTGGGGGCTAGGCCTCCTTCTGCCTTCAGCAAGGCTGTGTGGCTCCGTGGGTGGGGGTCCCCGTGCCCGAAGCTCACCGGGAGCTGGCAGCAGGGGATGGCCTTGTCTTGGACGTGGTGTCTGGGCTAGAGGCTCAGTGGGGGCTGGGGGATGTACCATGGGCGGGGGGGGGGGCAGGGGGAGCTCCCTGCCGTCTCCCGCCAGCACCCATCAGGGAGTTTTCCCGGGAGGCTGATGTGTGAAGGCCTTCTGGAGACCCCTGGTCTCCAGTGCCTGCCCCTCAGGCCAGACCCTGAGGACCGGCCAAACACCCAGGGTGGGGGAGGGTCTCTGGCCAGCTGGAGCGTCCTCCTCCTAGCTGGGGTTTCTCTGTCTCCCCACCTGCTTGCCTGGGGCACTCGGTCACTCACAGATGGGCAGGGCTGGTGTTGGCCTCGTCCCTGACCGCCCCCAGGGGAGCTGGGACCTGTGAAGCACCTCCTGGCTGAGCCGCGGCATGGGTACTGCACAGACAGGGCCTGGGCCCCCTCCCTGGGAGAGGAGGGGCGGGTGTGACCTTGTGTGTGGCGTCTGTGAGTGAGTGTACTTCCGGGAGACGCATGCACGGGACTGCCTTCCTGAGGCCTCCATACCTGAGGCTGGTGCCCCACCCTGCCGGCTGCCCCCCCAGACCCTGGGAGGCCTTCCGCCTCCCCTTGCTCGCTCCCAGCCAACTGCGGGGGCCACCAACCCTCGCAGTGTCCAGGACCAGCCGCTTCTCTCCACTCCTCGCTCCCACTGGGGCCTGAACGCTTTGTGGTGCTCACCTCTGGCCCCACCCCCACCCCATATTGCAGCCCCATAGTGGGTCTTTAAAATGTAAGTCAGATCTGGACTGTACATCGACTCAGAATCCGACAGGGCTGCTTCCCAGGCGGTGACCTGTGCAGTCCTGCAGGGCTCCTGCGGCGGGAGGGCCCCGTGCCTAGTTTAATGCTCTACTCTCGCTGTTTCAAAATCCTTAATAACTTTTGAAAAAGAGGCACCACGTTTCATATTGCACTGGGCCTGCAGGTGAGGTGCCAGCCCCGGAGCCCTCCAGCAACCCCCCCCCAACTCCAGGACAAGCCGCAGGATGCCTGGAATGCAGCCCCAGGCGGCTTGTTCTGCCCCCTCCCCCTCTTTGCCCAGGTCGCCTCCCCTAACCCTCCAGCGCGGCGGGGTCGCTGTCCTGAGCTGGTTGCCCTCGCTGCGGTCGGCCCGCTGAGGGCCGGGCCTCTGCCTGTTGTGGTCAGGGCTCTGTCTCTAGACCCCCTCCCGGGCCCTGCCTGTCCAGTGCTCAGTGCCAGGGGTCGGGTGGGAGAAGCAGAGCCTCGGGGCTCAGGGTTGGTTTCCTGGACACACTGGGCCCTGCCTGGCAGGTGCTCCCGGTCGGGCCATGTGGACACACGGGTCCGCTCGCAGGGTGGTTGGCCAGTTTCCCCCAAGCTGATGTCATCTCCTCAGAGAGAACGAGAAGATACAAAATGTGGAGGGGCCGGAAGCGAAGAAGGCTCAGGCCACCTTGGCCGGGGAGTCCCCAGGTGGAGTGGTGGGGACAGCAGATCACGCAGGACAGAGGCCTGGCCATAGGTGTGGGGGCCACGCTTGGGAAGGGCTGGGGCCTGCTGTGGCTGGAGCTGGTGTTTCTGGAAGTGGCCGCGGAGCCTCGGAGGGGCCTGGGAGCCTCGGAGGGGCCTGGGAGCCTCGGAGGGGCCGGGGAGCCTCGGAGGGGCCGGGGAATCTCGGAGGGGCCTGGGAGCCTCGGAGGGGCCTGGGAGCCTCGGAGGGGCCGGGGAGCCTCAGAGGGGCCTGGGAGCCTCGGAGGGGCCTGGGAGCCTTGGAGGGGCCGGGGAGTCTCGGAGGGGCCCGGTCTGTGCTGGCCTCCAGTGTGCCCACCTGACGCCATGCTCCCTCCCGTCCAGGGCCAGGCAGGCCTCGGTGGCAAGATGAGCGTCACCTCCTGGTTCCTGGTGAGCAGCAGCGGCACCCGCCACCGCCTGCCGCGCGAGCTCATCTTTGTGGGACGCGATGAGTGCGAGCTTGTGCTGCAGGTGAGGGGGCGCCTGGGGTCAGGAGGGCGAGGGGGCATCTGGGGTCAGGAGGGCAAGGGGGCACCTGGGGTCAGGAGGGCAAGGGGGCACCTGAGCAGGGTGAGGGGGCACCTGGGGTCAGGAGGGCAAGGGGGCACCTGAACAGGGTGAGGGGGTGCCTGGGGTCAGGAGGGCGAGGGGGCGCCTGGGGTCAGGAGGGCGAGGGGGCACCTGGGGTCAGGAGGGCGAGGGGGCACCTGGGCAGGGTGAGGGGGTGCCTGGGCAGGGCGAGAGGGTGCCTGGGGTCAGAAGGGCAAGGGGGCACCTGGGCAGGGTGAGGGGCTCCAGGCGGGGCCAGGGGGCGCCTGGGGTCAGGAGGTGAGAAGTGGGAAGGCCAGGGTCTGAGGGGGCACCCACCTGCTCGTCTAGGCTGTGCCGGCCCCTGGGGCGTGCGGGGTGGGTGTGCAGGGTGCAGGTGTGACGTTCATGTAGTGTCTGCCTTTGCTCATGTGGTGCTTCTGAAGAGGGGGCGCTGAGACTCTCAGAGGTGTTAGAAGGGCCAGAGGAGGGGAGGAGCTGCTCCAAGCCCACCTCCCTCGTGCAGACGGGCAGCTGAGCTTGGGGCTGTGCTGGCCCAGCCCACCTTCCAAGCCCCTGGAGGGTGCTGGATGCAGGTCAGCCCATCCCCCGTGGTCACGGGGCAGGGGTGGGGGGCCTGCACCAGCTCTGCCTGGCACAGCCACCGAGGGTGGTCCCGTTGGCTTAGTCCCCAGGCAGTCTGAGTGGAGGCTGGTACCACTTTGAGGTGTCCTGGACCTGGAGGGAGGGGTGCCTTCTGGAGACGAGGCTGGGCAGCCACACACGAGCTCGGGGCCTTGGGTGCGACAGTACGGGATTTCAGCCCGCATTCAGAGCCCGCGGTTGTGTCCGTGGGGCCCACGCGTCCAGCTGTTTGGGGCGAGGGTGTACGGACCCTGTAGGGGTCTCCCTGGCCCAGATGTGGGGCCTGCAGATGGCAGAGGCCATGGATGGTGGCACTTCAGCTGCTGGGGGCTTTTGGATGGTGGGGGCTGCTGATGGAGAGGGTCTGCGGGCACTGTGATGGTGGGGGCCAAGCATGGGCTCTCCTCACCCATGCCAGCCCCACCCCCTGCGCCAAGCCCTCGCTCAGCCTTGTTCTCTTCCTGGGTATTGGGGAGGCCTGGCAGGGGATGCAGGGTGCCCAGAGTGAGTGAGGGTTCAGTCCCTGGTTTCTGGGCCTGTGGAGGGGGTGCCCTGAGCAGGGTGGGGTGGTGGGGGTTCCCAGCCTGCAGCCGGGGCCGGCTGCCCTCTGCGGTGTCCAAGTGTCTGTCCCACTGTGGGAGAACTGGGCAGAGGCCCCTGCCCTCCTGCAGCCTCTGTTCTCAGGAGGAGCTGGCCCAGGGCTCACCGGGACGGCAAGGGGCTGTAGGCCTGACCGCCCCCAGCCTGGTGTGGGGGCCCAGAGAGGATGGGGCAGTGGGGAGAGCCACTGGGGATGCTGGGGCCGCGGGGATAGCAGGCGCAGCGTCCTGAGGTGGGAGGGGCTGGTGTGGCCGGATGGGCTGAGAAGGGGGGAACGAGTCCGTGAGGCACGGTCTGGACCCTGGCAAGAAGGAGGCTGGGGTCACCTCGGCAGGCGGAGACCCATGTGGGCCCTTGACAAGGAGTGACGGTGATGTTTGTTCTGGAAGGGGCTGCTCCGGGGGTGCAGTTCGTGGGGCACCAGGGGAGCAGGGGTCCCTTGGGAGACGGTGCCCCAGTCGAGGCAGTGGGGATGTTGGCTTGGACCTTGGTGGGCAGAGGGGCCAGGGAGAACCATGCTCTGGAGGCGGGGCCATGCCGTGAGCTGCCCTGACCACATGCCCCGGGGCCCCGGCTGTTGGTTCTCCACTGGGCCTGGGGCCCTCAGGTAGGCCTGGCACAGAGCTGGTGCTGTGAGGACACGCCGAAAGATGCGAATGTGAGCCGGGTAGTGGAGCCAGGTCTGCTGTGCCTCCTGCTGCCCGACGGGCACCAGAAGCTGGCTGCAGACCTCCGGGGGCCGGACGGGGCAAGCGGTGTGTACATGTGTGGGTATGTGTGCACCCATGTGTACAAGTGCACGTGTAGTGCAGCCATGTGTGCGTGTGTGTGTGCGTGCATGGCACATCCATGTTGCATGTGTTATTAGGGGAGCATGTGTTCATGACTGTGCATTCATGGGTGTGTGAGGGCATGTGTCTGTGTGCACACGTGTGTTACATACATGCGTCTGTGCGTGTGTATGCATGTGTGAACGCCTTTGTGGGGAAGTGTATGTATCTGTGTACGTGTGAACGCATGTATGCATGTGCTAATGGGTGTGCTTGCACATGTGCGTGCCTGTGTGTGCATGCGTGTGTACGTGTTCATGGATGTGAGCGTCTCTCTGTAGTGTGTGCATGTTGCGTGTCTGAGAGGCTGTTCTCCCCCTCGACCTACGGCATGAGCACAGCCTGGATGTCCCGCCCGCCCTCCTGACCCAGGACTGCAGCCCCAAGCAGCCAGGGCCCTGCACCCACAGTCTGTGGGGCCCATGTGTGTGGGCACTCGTGGCCTCATGCTGGGGGTGCTGGGATGAGCTGGCAGGAGGCGGCTGGCCCGGTACCCTGATGCTGCAGGGATGAGCGAGGCCAGGACAGGGACGCTTACCCAGGTGGGGGGTCCAACATGTATTTTGGAAACAGCATCACTCAGTTTTACAGGGAGTACAAACAAGGAGACATTTTCCCAACAATTGTGTGTTTGGAGCTTCTAAGACCATTTGATTTGTTTTCTTACCTACTTTTTCTACTTCGAGGAGCAACTTTTCATGGGCTATGGTTTGTGTTGTTTTAAATTTTGAACCCTGGCCTGGGGGGGGCCCCCTCCACCTTCATGGGCGGGCTGTATTCTAACCTAGCACATGGGCTCGGGCAGGTGGGTGTCTGCCTCTGGCCAGGGTGGCAGGCTGCGGGTGTTTCTGGGGATGCGGTTCCTCCCCGGGAGCCCTGGCTGGCACTCTGCAGCCCTGGCATGGAGTGCAGCTGGCCTGGAGTGAGGGGCCAGGCCAGGCACCGGGTGCGAGTGGGGAGGGGGTGAGGCTATGCTGACTCAGAGGAGCCAGGGCCTTGCAGGGGTGAGAGAGAGTGAGGCAGTCAGCGTGGTGGGCAGGATGAGGCGATGGGAGACTGGTGAGGGGCCGTGGGGATGGAGACGACAGACAGACTGAGGGCTGCTGGGGGAGCTGGTGCCCAGGGTGGGCGAGGCAGTATGGCCTGAGCAACTGGGGGCTTGGCTAGTGGGCACTCCTGGCGGGGGGTCTGGGGGGCATGCACGGGGGGGAGGATTGGGTTTGGCACGCTGGCTGAAAGTGCCCACGAGGAGTGCAGGGAGGCGTGCAGGAAGTGACCGGCAGGCCAAGGGCTCTGAAGCTGGAAAGGTTGGACTGGAAGCCCCTGCAGGGGGTCAGTCTGGACAGAGAGGCCATTGGAGCTGGACAGCTGCATCCTACTGTGTCCTGGGCTGCCCTCCGGGTGGGACAGGTGCCACCCTGTGCAGTGGCAGAGCTGGTCCTGGGTCAGGGTCTGCCTTCCTGGGACAGCGCTCCATGACCCCGCCCCACCCTGGGATGGTCCTCCTCCCAGCATGTCCCCGAAGCCTTGGGGCATGGTGGTCAGCAGTAGCCGGCTGTTCTCCCCTGGGAGTCCATGGTCCCCCAGGCTCCTGTGTGCGTGGGGGCGCCCCAGGAGAGCAGGATGAGAGAATGGTGATGCTGTGTCTGCTGGGGGAGTCCGTGCACTGGGGCAGTCGTTGGGCCTTGCAGGAGGGTGGTGCTGAATGTACGGCGTGTGTGCAGGGGAGCGTGTGAGGTGCTGTGGGAGGCGCTGTGCAGGCAAGGGCATTGCCGGAGTCAGGGCAGGACTCGGGCCGTGTGTGGGGGGATCTGCCTCCCTGATGGCTCCCTCTGGGCTCTGCCCTTGGGTGTGAACAGAGTGTCCCAGATGACAGAAGTGCCCATTCCCTCCCACGGCTGACCCAGTAGCAGTTGCCTGGGATGGGAGGGGGGGCACTGGTCTATTGGTGCTGGGGAGGGGTGCCCACAAACAGAGGGGCTGAGGGGCAGCAGTGGGACTGGAGGGGACAGCCCTGACCTCTTGCCACATCCCTATGACTGGTCATCCCAAGACGGGTCACCTCCCGGTGGCCTGCTCCGGTGGCTGGGTGGGCAGGTCAGGCCAAGGCTGGGTGAGCTTTCTGGGGTGCATACACAGAAGGTGTGGGGGTGTGGGTGTAGCCTCTGGACCTGACTCCTAGGCTCAAAGGCCCAGGGCGCTGGGGTTGGTATGTGGGGGGCCAAGGGTTTGGGGAGCCTGTGGGGGGTACGTCTGTCTGGTGGCCTGGCTTCACAGGGGTTGGGTGCTGAGGGCCATCTTGTGTCTGCCCAGTCCCGCAGCGTGGACAAGCAACATGCCGTCATCAACTACGACCAGGACAGGGACGAGCACTGGGTGAAGGACCTGGGCAGCCTCAATGGGGTGAGTATGTAAGGCCCCCTGGCCCGGGTACCGGCCCCGCCTCTGCCTGGGCCCCGCGCCCTGCCCCTGTCCTGGCAGTGTCTCTGGCCCCGCCCCAACCCTGGCCACACCCCTGGCCCCACCTGTTTAGCCCTCTGCTCTACCCCTACCTGACCCCAGCTATGGCTCCGCCTTCTTTGCCCCACCCCGCTGTCATAACCTGTGCTTTGCCTACTCTTCTGTGCTGGCCACGCCTCTCTGACATGGCCACGCCTCAGCCCCACCCCGAAGCTCCAGTCCCCCACCCTTTGCCCTGGCTGATCTGATCTCATCTCTCTGTGTGGGCCCCGCCCTCTCTGCTTAGCTCCACCCCATTCGGCCCTACCCTTCCGCCTGGCCCTGCCCAGGACTCCTGCTCCCTGTGATGGGGGCCTCCTTCAGGTGCAGAGGCCTGAAGCACCTGTTTCAGGAGGGCTCCCCTGGGCAGGGACTCGAGCCTCCACGGGGTGGGGCTGCTTCTCCAGGTGAGGGTGGGCCCCTCCCATGGGTAGGAGAGGCATTGCGACCACCCGCAGGGTGGGAAACGGGGCCTCTGAGATGGAGGGGCTGTGCAGGTGCCCTGTCTGGGGGTGACCTGTGACCCTTCTCTTTACTGAGTTGGGTGCAGTGGAGGAGGTGGCTGAGGGGAGGAGGGCAGGTGAGAGGACCCTGGTGTCTGGGGTGGGAATGGGGAGGGCCCTCTCCAGCCATGTCCGTCCTCTGTCCTGTGCTGGCGGTGACATCGGGCTGTTTCTTCCTCTGTCCTCGTTGGGTGGACTGGGTCTGCCCTGGTCGATGTTTCAGTAGCTTCTCTTACAAAAGAGCACAGGACTGTCAGCCTCCACGCCACCCCTCCCTCGCTCCTCCGGCATACCCTCCCATCACCCCCCTTCTGTGCCCTCTTCTGCTGGCCCCTCCCACCGCCCCCTCCCTGGCCATCCTGAGCTGGGGTGGGGGTCTTACAAGCAGCCTCAGGCTGTCCTACCTCCACTGGGTGAGCACTCCAAGCTGGCACTGGGCACCACCCACCAGACTCCCCCTGCACAGTGCTCCCAGACGGCACCTGAGGGCCCACCTGTCAGCCACCTGTCAGGTGAGGCAGCTCTGCCCACGTGGGCTGCCCCGGGCCCTGAATGGCTCCACGGGGGTCCTGGAACTGCTGGCCCTGGGTGTGTGGCATGGCGTGGGCAGCGCTCCTGGCCTCCAGGGCTGCCTGCGCCTTGGAGGCCTGAGCTGCCCGAGGAGCCCTGGCCAGCTGCCCGTCTGGCACACTCAGCCGTGGATGGGCTGGCCGTCTGCAGAGCTGCACCGCTGTCCCCGTGCCAAGCCTCGGTGCGGCCACCGCCCTGTGCCTGTGGCTCTGAGCCCAGGCCTCCTCCACACACCACGTGTCCGCCCCCAGGCCCCCGCTCCATTGCCACACCTCCACCTCTCCCCAGGGAGACCCTCCCACCCCCAGGTCCTGCGAACCTTCTCTACTCTCTGTAATTGAGTTCTCACATCTGTCTTACCTCTTCCAATCTCTCCCACCACATGGGGCACAGGAGCATGTCTGAGTCACGTGTCTCCCCTCAGCCACCCGGCTGCCCCAGAGGCCCTCAGAGCGAGCTGGGGTCTTTTGCTGCCCAGCTGCACCATGGTGTCTGCGCGGGCTGGCCGATCACAGCCCTTGATGGAGGGGAGCTTCCAGAGGGGGCGCACCAGCACCACTGCGAGTGGGCAGCCTGCACAGGTCCAGAGCCAGGGCTGGCATGCCTGGGCCACTCCTGGGGAGGGCTCTGCGTGAAGAGGGGTGTCTTGGAGGGGTGCATTTTACAGGTGTCCAGACAGGGCTGTGCTCGGGGCACACAGGATCCCCCTCGGCCCTCCTTAGCCGACGTCCAGCCTGTGGTTCTGTCTGAGTGTGTGGCTGGGTGCACACGAGCGGGTGGTGCCCAGGGCTTGGGGCCAGGGGCTGCCCTGGTGCCGTGGCGGGAGGGAGCCGTCCAGATCGTCCACGAGCCGTGGACTCTCTAGAAAGTTCTGTGCTCCCGGCCTGCACCTGCTCCACCACCCTCCATCCCCCCCACAGACTTTCGTGAATGACGTGCGCATCCCGGACCAGAAGTATGTCACGCTGAAGCTCAACGATGTCATCCGCTTCGGCTACGATATCTTTCCAGCGCTCAACCTTGCCTGGGGTGGGGCAGCCTCAGCGGTCACAGCGGGGCTGGCAGGGCTGCAGAGCGGAGAGGGGGCACCCCGAGGGACTCCGGCCACCGCAGCCTGCCCAGCCCAGGTCACGTCTTCCGGCCTGAGGTCACACAGGGCCGTCGCATCGCGTGATAGCACCCTGGGGCCCAGAGTCCAGCAGGACCTAGGGCTGCACTAGGGAGGGGCGTCCCCAGGGTGCAGTGCTCTGTCTGGACCCTGGGTGGCGCGGCCATGCCCCTGGGAGGAGGACTGGAGAGGAGAGCCTCCCCCAGGCAGCAGGGCCCATTGGGCAGGCCTGCCTCCCCGGCACCTGCCTCCCTGGGCACTGCGTTGGCTCACCTGAGGTGGGTGTGGATCCAGCCGCTGGTTGAAGCCCCTATCCTTGGAACCCCTTGAGGGGTGGCCTGGGATGAGAGCCGGGGGCTGGGGGCTCAGTCAGGGCCCTGCTCATGCACACCTTGCCTGCCCACCACGGCCCCCTCTGTGAGTAGGGTGGGGTGTGGACTGCTGCCAGGGCCCCAGGTGGGTGGCAGCTTACCTGCTGGCTCTCCTGCAGGTAGACACTACCGAGGGGTCCGGGGGCAGCAGGGCTTGGACAGCATGCGGGGGTGGGTGCGGGCAGGACAGTTCCTCCACGGCCCTTTCATCTGCCTGGGCCGCCCTCCGTCCAGTCTTCCTGCTCCGTGTCCTCCTTAACACACAGCCACATTCCAACATGTATGTGCTGGAGCGTGTGCAGCACCGCCTCCCCGAGGAGGCCCTCAAGGTCAGTGCCGTGCTCGTGCTGTGAGCCCCCACGCCCGCAGTCACCACACCCAGAGTCACGACACCGTGCAGCCACG